TGTATAAAGTGTCAAACTTTGATTTATATGGTTATGTTATAGAATGAACTATATTTTGATAAATAATTAATGAAAAAAAAAATTCTATGAAAATAATTGTGAATATTATATTAAAACAAGGTGTAAACTTACATACATTTGACACTGACTGTATATAAAGAAAGAATAATTAAAAAATTAACTTTGTTTATTAAAAACGGGTATTTTTTCTAAAATAAATGTGTTATTGACCCTATTCGAAAACAATTTATAGTGACGTTGTGCTTCCAAAAAATGTTGCTCTTTTTCCAAATTTTCACTATATATTAAAATATATGGCTTTATATGCATTAAAAAAAATCGCTGCAGGCGAAAATTTGGAATAAAAAACCGCGCACACAGGAAATTCCAAACAAATTTGTAAAATATTTTATTAGTTCTTTATAAAGTTTTAAACTAGGATTTATATGGGTTTTGTTAGAGAATGAAGTGTATTTTAATTGAAAATGAGAATTAAACAAACAAACAATAAAACGAATTCTTAAAAATAAATAAAAAACATTAGTCACTTGGAAATGGGGGTGCTATTGATTTACCGATTGTGTATGCACATTCATACAAACATATATATATATATACATATCGCACGTTTAATAATATAGAGAAGTAACTCAAAATTTACGTTTTTGGAGATTTCATTATCCAATTAATAAGTTTGATAAGTATAATATGTGGAGTCTAACAGATAACCAAATTTTCCAAATATGGCGAAGATATGTGTCTTTCCATCTGTCTTTTTGCATATCAACTGTATGGATTGATAAAACTTTAATTAAATTTTGAAATACTTCGTTATATTATTAAACGTGCGTTATATGTACGTATTTTTTATTGTAATCCGTGATTGCTAAGTTGATTAATCGTTTTTGAATACCAGTTCGCTCCGTTCATTCTGGTGCCTTCGTCCTTCCCACGCAAAGAGTTCGAAAAGGCTAAACATTTGCAAACCATTATTAACCAATTGATGCATAATGTGGCCCACGATGAAGAATTTCTTACCACAACTTTGGCGGAAACTATCAAAGTTGATGACTTTACAGCTAATCTCTTTAATGTATACAAAAAAGTGCTCGCCAATGGCTTTGGACAGGTATGTTAAATTTTTAATTTAAAGGACCAATTTCCTAACTAACCATTTTCATTATATTATTTTCATAAATATTAAATATTAGCACATAAATAAACTGACTACTTACCTCAAAGCATTTCGCAAGTACTTAATACATACATACATACATAAGTCTGCATTTATAAAAAATACTGCCAGTGGTTTGCTGAAAAGTTTTTAGGATGGTGAATTTATTTTTATTAAAAAATATACTTATCGTTATTTCGTTGTAGAGTGATTCATATTCAGCCTTGTCATGAGTTTAATTTTCCCCGAACCGGTTCACTTTTAACTTTTGGTTTCCATGTATTTACTAAGGGCGGAGTAAAAATTTTCGGGAGAATTTCTTTTCGGGTGAAACTAAGGATAAGGCAGATTATTTTCCAGATACTTTGTGAAATTGAACTGAAAACTATAAAAAAACAAAAAAAAAACGCATCAAAAACACTTAAAAAATTTTTCAAAAATTAGTTCTTAAAAAGGTTAAAAAAGGTCAGCCTTTTCAACATTTCATTAACTCTTAAGAGCCGTTTACATAAGACTTTCTTCGCTTTCGAACTTTGATAACGAAGCGTGAAGCGTAGAAGGTATGCTACAATAAACGCTTTGACAGCTTCTGCGTTCTCCTTTTCCTTCATATTTTATCTGTATAAAATAGGTAACAATATAATAATATGAATTAATAATAGCAATAATAATTCTTAGTTTCCTTATTTTTGCCATTAAATGCAAATACAAGCGCGCGAGAAAAGATACATGTAGACAGCTGATTGCCCAAGCGCGTAAAAGTTGAGAGTTGCCCATAATTTTGCATCGTTTTGCTTTCCTCGCATTCTATTTAGCAAGATTCATATAAAATCATGTATTGAACTTATCTGTCAAAGCGGAGTTATGAAGCAAAGCGAAGCAAAAGTCGTATGTAAATGGGCCCTTTCTGTACAAAAACGTGCACAAATGTGTCATCGGGCAACAAAAATGTAAATATCTCGACAACTGAAGTACTTCCGATCATGAAATTTCATGAAAGCCTTGTGCAAACATATTTGAATGCCATACCGTTTAATAAAACCATTTTTCTGAAAAATAGTAGTCCTTAAAGACAAAGTAGTGGTACATTTATACCACCAAATATCTTCATACATTACAATATGATTACAATCGTGACTGTTTCAACTGGAGCGCGCATAGTGAAGAGCACACCGTATATACACGCAAATGCGGCAGACTAAACGACGAAGTCGAGTTCTATTTGACAAACTGTTTAACTCGACACGGATGCTTCAAACCATACCTTCACCAATTCAAACACGAACCGGAAAAGGGGTGAATCCCCTCGGACCGGGCTTTTTAAGGGGCCTGAAATATCAGAACCATACCTTGCTATTATTTCGTGCTGATTGTTTCTGCCTCCATACCTATAGAAAATTATTACGTGCTTTTAAATTAATGCAATTTATATATAGGCGCCCGTGATTTTTCAGTCCGGAGCCCGAATTTTCGCTCGACGGCCCTGCATATGCGACTACTACGGAGGAGATGCAATAGAAGGCGTCTTTTTTGAGTGTATGCGATTTGACAGTACCAGATGCAAACTTCGCAACATATTTGGCGAGAGTTTCACGCCTAAGTCAATCGTACAGGCTATGCTACAAAGCAGCGAAAAATGGTGGGTAGCATGTAACGCAATATCAGAGGCGATGCAGGGGCTAAGGATCCCCAAAAGTCTGCGGCATAACAGCGGCGACTAACTACCTTTCTCCCTCACGGTGTAGTGCTTGACGTCATTCCCGTGTGGTGCGGAGTTCTAGGACATAACATGCTTTTCCTGGTTTTATAGGGACACTTGAGAGCCCCTGAAAAAACTGTTAAAGTCTAAACAGAACGGGTGCGCCGAGTAAATTTCGTCGGACGGACCGATGCCGCCGGGTGATATTCGCGTAAAATTTCGTCAAGTAAGACTGAACCGCAACAATAATTTAGTGCTACTACAAATATTGTGGAGGATTATCCTTAAAAAAATGCTAGTTTGAAAATAAGAAAAGGCTAGAAAAAGGCCACGAAGCTAAATTCTAAATTTCGAAGCTAAACGACAAAGAAAAAATCTAGTTCTAGGCTCAAAAAGACTAAACTGGCAACACTGCACCTTACAGAAAGCATTGCAGTGAACGAGGTGCTGAGTTACTCTTTCAAAAGTCTTATTTTTGTTGTTGTAACAGCATACAAATTCCCAAAGAGTTTTTGTCGAGTGTTGCTGGAGTAACAGTCCTTGGTCGTTCCGTTTACGTGGACCCGTCTGTGTGGAGAACGTATCAAAAGTCTTCTCAGGTACGGATTTTCTTGTAAGGGAACGACTTCCTGTAAATTCTGACTAAATCCTGTAAATCTGACTCGTAAAGGAACAATTTAAATATATTATTAGCATTTACTTAGAAAGATGTTTGTAATAACTACACATGGCGTGAAAGAGTTAAGCTAAACAATTTCAGTTTATCGCTATAAATCTTTGTATACAAATGATACCTGTTATCCATTCATTCATTAATATAAAAACACATAACCGAGCGAAAATGTTGCACATTCATCCATTTCATAAATTTGTTCACCCTAATTTCGTTTCATTTCGTTCATCTATATGTTCTTAGGAAAGTAAATAAAAATAACCCTTTCACAGCACATGCTCACTTAATGTTAGTTAGTTACATAACATCGCTCACTAAAATTATCTACACATTTCTTATCCTTAACATATGTATGTACTACTACATTCATACATACATACATAGTAGAAGATAATACTCGATCAGCACCAAACAGCGACTTTTTAAAACATACAAATTTTTAAGTTTATTTCACTTTATTATCTGATGGTTTCTAATTTTTATTATTTCCTTATATGTTTTTGTATGCACCCGCACGCGCATTCGTTTTGAAAATGAATCTATTGATATGAAAACGGTCAAATTTGATAAAAAAAAAAATCATTCTCAAAAAATGTATGTACATAACTTAAAAATGTACCAATAAAAAAAAAATGTGTCACATACACGAATATAAAGCGAATTTCGTTGGGCCTATTGCGCAGTGATTTGATGTTGGAGACGAAATGTACTGAATTACTTGAGAAAGAGAAACATACCCCCTGTGCCTACTGTTGCTGGAAACAAGTTGAAATTAACACAATTGCTTCTGGTTTTGGCCATTTAGGACCAGCAAGCAAAGCCATACAAAGGTGCAGATTTAATTACTAATTACTAGTAGCAGTTTATAGTATAGTGTGTAGCCAAACAAATTGTTCAGATTGCATTGCTTTAATTTTCAATAATATTTAACACTAAAAACCGGTGTTCGGACTATGAAAGGCTTATTCTCGTTTATAGATTTTTTTTTATTTATTTTAAAGAGCTTATTTTTGGGTTTGTTATAAGCTTATGTGCTATTTTAACAGTCATTAGTTAACTAATATACTACCATTTTTCATTTCACAGTATCAATTTGACCAATGGTTGACTGTAGTATACTAAAAACAGCTGTTTTTCTATTAGTTAACTGATGACTTGGAAAATGGCCCTATTTAATACTCTACTTTAAGTATGTAGAATTGTTTAAGTTCTTGTTTTGCATTTTCGCAACTTAAGTTTTCATTAGTGTGTAGGTTTTGTAATGCTTTTCTCGTTATGCATGTCTACTTGCATGCATTTAAAACTATATTCCTTAATTTATTCCTAAATTAAAATAGTTTTACGTTTAAAAGAAAATCACAATATCAAGAAAGTAATCTAGAGAAAGTAAAAAGATACTGGGAAATCGACTTCTGCTGCAAGCGTAAATTCGTTGGATAATCGCCAAAGCTATGTAAACGAAAAAGTGTTCTTAGAGCACTTACATAATGTAAGTTACATCTTTTTGGCGGTTAGTGCTCGAAATGTTTAGTAAAAAACTGTTTGAAATCCCAGTTGGGGTTTGCTTTTACGCCGGTAAAAAATAAATTGTCCGTTATAGTTTTTATACTCGAGTGCACTTGGCCACAAGGTTATTATAACTTTGTTCGCTTGACGACTGTTCGTAACAGCATCAAAGAATCGAGATAAATTTAGACATTCAAATCATAAAATGCTCAGAATGAAGACAGAAGTCGATCAAGCCATGTCTGTTTGTCCGTGTACACGATAACTCGAGCAAATATTTATATATGTATCTCAACGAAATTTGGTAGGTTTTTGGCATGGTACAATAATTACAGGTATTGTCTTACCAGAAAGGATATTTTCATACCCCATAAACCATATAATATGTATCCGTATTTTTTTTTAACAAACCTTCTTGCAGAGCACGATTCAATAATGAAAGGTTTTTCTTTTCCAAATTTCTTTGCAAGTTTTGAGAACGTTTTTAAATATTTAGTAGTGAAATTTTAGCTTTTTAAAGGGGAAGAAATTTGTGTTCTTCGTTCGCTGCCGATAACAATGATCCAGTTAAATGTTGGGTCCTTGAACATATATGTTACAAAACCTTTATTAATTGAATATTGCTTGCAGAGTACACATTTAATTTGCAAAAGCCAAAAAATAAACATTTGCTGAAAAAATAAATCCAACTAAAATTAAAAGAATCAACATTCAAATGCGAACACAATACCGGTAATAATTGTACCATGGGTTTTTGGTATTTTGATTTTATAAAAAAAATATATATTTATTTTTTTAACAACTTTTCAGTCTTGATTTTTCTAGTTCGCGCTTCTAAGAAAATCCGCAAGTATTTTGTTAAATGCAATCAACTTCATTTCACCAATTTTGATTAGTCTTCAAATTGTGAAAGCCGTCTAGCAGCAAATTAAAGTACATACATACATAGTTTCCCAATAGCCCGTTCAAGTTAGATATTTAAAGTTCAATAAAGATCAAATACGGCGGTTGCTGGTTTCGTGCACGATCATTCAGAGTACAGATTTGCCGAAGTCAATATCAGTATGAGCAGTTATAAGCATCGTTCACTTGTGGTGGCTGTATTTGCAAGACAGCACGCAATGCGCTCGTGTTCAGTCATCCTCTAATTTCGTTTAGGTATCGATACCACTAAGCCAACGCCGCTGCTCAGTCATACAAAGCTGCGGTATTGAATGAGTATGAACAGTTGACGATCAACCAATGCCAATCCCTGGTGTACATATCGAGCTTTAACGGCCAAAATAACGTAAGCGACATTTTTTTCAAAACATAACATTATAAAACATACATTTTTATTGTTCTGTAACTCAGCTTCTACTACCGAACTAGTTCAATTAGGTGAGCTATAGACTCAGAAGAGCTAGTTCATTGAGATGAACGAACTAGAAGTGAACTAACCTTTAAAGTGAACTAAAAAATCAAACTCCGCTCTGATGCGTACGACAGAATTAAAATTTGGTTTAAAAATTAGATCCCATCCAAAGATGAGTACTTCTTCGGAGATGGAGTCCTAACAATTATTTGACAGATGGACAAAACCCATAGTTACTGTAGGCGTATATTTCAATTAGTATCACTATATAACATAACGCCGCACAAAGGGAGCGCTTCACATAAAAGTTGCTGCTCAAAAGTCTGTAACCGGTTTTTACTCCTAAAAATGCTGTAGACAAATCCAAAAGAGAAATATCATAATTTTTATAAAATTATTCCATTATTTTGTGTACAAAATATTTTTTTTTTGTTAAATTGAAAAATATGTATTTTGTGAAAAGGAATAAAAACAAATAATCTGCATGGACCACTGTCTCCATTTAGTCAGTTACTTCGTGTTCTTAACACCAAAAAAATAAAATCATTTGGGGGATTCACAACGGTGTCCTAAGTGTCGTATTGTTTTATGTCGTAAACTTTAAAAGCTTAAATAAATGTTTAGAGAACTTAAAACCACCACCAACTATTTGTAGCTCTGCGAAAGTTCATAATATGACTTTCGTGGTACTTTGCGAACCCTCTTAATATATTTTTTAGGTGTTTAAAGTTTACGACATACAACACTTACGACACCGTTGTGAATACCCCCATTGTACTCAGATTCACTTGGAGTGCAATGGGGTATAGTCATTGCGCTGGGTATGCAGTTACAG